TAACTGGGAAAATGATCCGCCATTTGACTACTGCAAGGTTAGATATTTCTAGTCATGATAAGGTTATACATTTCTAGTCATAATTAGTGTTTAGAAGTCGCTAGGCACCTGACCAGCCTAGCGCTTAGGCGGGATATAAAAATTAAGAATAACTATATTATTTTAATTTAATTTTACTACCTACAAAATAAAAATACCCAAACTTATAATAAATCAACACACCTAAGTCTAAATAATGGTATTAGTATATTATAAAGAACAAACGATACAAAAATAAAGTAATTAGTATTTAGAGAAATTTAAAAAATTGTCATCGAAGCCACCTAGGAGCGCCTAGGGCCCACTTGGCAGATTTTTTTAGTCGATTTGTGCAAATCGGAGGCGGCCGGGCAACGCGTAAAGTTAGTGCCTAGGCCAATTTTTAGTACAGTGATCATGATCGGTGTTTAAATAGTGTTTCGTAGCGAGTTAGCGTACAATAAAGCGTAGATTTGGATAATTAGTGTTTTTATAAAAAGCATACGCGAAATGCTGACATGACACACTTTTTACGCTACATTCCTCCAACAACATTTAAAAGATAAAATATTGAACATTTTGTATTGATCTAGGGATTATTGTCATATATTAAAATGATAACCAAAAACTAAATTTTTTTATATTGATTTTAAATTAAAAGTTCGAAAATTCAAAGTCCTAAGTTGAATATTTACCAGTCTAGTTCTATTATATTAATTTATTTTTGTTAATTAACATTTAAAAGTACAAAAANNNNAAAAAAAAAAAAAAAAAAAAAAGTTTAGAACTAGCAATTAGAATTAAAAATAAAGTTAAATTTGAAAAAACAATTAAAATGTCAAAAAATTAAATAATGACTTACCTTATCATATTTTCATTTTTTTTTTGTGCATATTCATTTATTATTTAAACATTCATATTAAGATTTTTACATTAAACATTTATGACGAATATTTTTTAAAATTATCTTTGAATTCATTCACATATTATGATATTTTTTTTTTTCCATCAACCACCTAGATTTATTATATGCATAAATAGCTACGGAACACATAATATTATTTACGCTACACAGTATAAAGATCAAAATGTGACGCTGCATGTTTGTGCTTATAAGTTACAACTTAATGATGTAACAATGTGAACTTAAAAACACGAGTCAGTTTTCTTTCAGTATCATATCATAAATTTAATTAATAAAAAAATATGTAGGTATGTAATCATCTCTAATTGACCTTTTTTTTTTTGGGAATATAAAGAT